GAGGAATTTCCTAGGGTGCCCGTCCTAGGCGGGACCCTGAGGGCAGGCACCCAACCTGCCCTTTGGTTCACCGACCTCCGCTTCACCTCTAGAACCTGCAAGCCCCGGCAGCCAGTCTCCACCCACCCCACTCCTCTTTCTTCTCTTCCCCACCCCTTCCTCCTTCCCTTTGCTCTAGTCTCCCCGCCCCACTACACCCTCTCTGGCCCGTTGCATGTTCGACCTTGCAGAATTGCATATCTTTTAAGTAAACACTCCATCCTGCGTAAGATTGAGCTCAATTTCTGCCCCACCTTGATTATGAGCTTTGCTTAGTGACTTGCTTCCAAAGTACAGTTCAGTGTGGAAAGTGGGGACAGTAACTTTAAAGTGGAGAAACCTGGCCAGCACTGCCTTGGCCAGGTGAGGAGAGTTAACATCATCAGTGATGAGTTATGTTGATAGCATGCCTGGGACATAGGAAGGGTACTTCACCCATGTGGTATTCCTCCCCAGAACCCCAGTTCTCTCTTGGGAGAAACATCAAACCCCAAAACACCTGATCAGTACTCCTAAAATCTGTCAAAGGTCATAAAAAACAAACTCAGAATCTCATAAACCAGAGGAAACTAACACGACATGACAGTTAATGTAATGGGATACTCTGAAGGGAATCCTGGAATAGGAAAGGGATATTAGGGGAAAACTAGTAACATCCAAATCAAGGGTGGAGCTTAGTTACTACTACTGTTCCAATGTTAGTTTCTTGATTGTGACAAATGTAGCATCATAGTAAGATGCTAATAATCGGGAAGTTTGATGAGGGATATACCTGAAATCTCTGAACGACATATGCAAATATCCTAAAATCTATTCTAAAATTAAGCTGGGAGAGGAAAAGAGGCGCTGGAAATAGATGGTTTCAGATTTGGACCCATAATTCAGTCATGTCATCAAAGCTCAAAACTAATTTTCCACAATACCATCGTTAGGGAGTTGGCTATTCAGCTTTTTGTTTCTTTTTGGTCTCATGATTGCTGCAGTTCCAGTCATCACATTCTCACACAAATACATTCAAGACGGGAAGGAAAGGGGCAGATGAAACAAGTGTTTTCCTTTTATGAGGAAGGAGGTAATGTATACTCCTATTTTCTAGATAGGAATTGACATAGCTTCTCTCCTTGATCAAACTCTAGCCTGGCTCTTTGGAGCCTTTGTCTCAGTGAGGGCTCAACCCCCTCACCTATACAATCTACAGATTCAGCACAAATGATTTCCTCCACTCCACACATTAAAAGACTTAAACACTAACATAGTTTCTAACAGCTCAAGGCCACATTCCTAGAATGACCTTAGCCCTCCTTAAGGAGTTCAAGGCTGCCAACAGAATTTACTGTTTGTCCTAGCCTACACTTGATGACAGGCCCTTTACTACCCTTTCTTGGGTCATTTACTAAAAAGTAAATATTTACTTTTTACTAAGAAGTAAATTTGAGAATTGTATAATTCTCAAATTATACAATTTGAGAATCCTTCCTCTTGTGCATTTGAGATATTATGTATCTCCTTTGAAATGTAATCATCAGAAAGGATAGGGCCTCTGTCCCTTAGTCTCTGTGTAGCCAGTAGAGCTGGTCTAATCAGCATTTACGCTGACTAGCCCTTGGGAATTTTTCACTGTCCTGACTCTACTCAAGCACCTCTGTTTCCCCTCCCTACTCTGTAAAATGCCTAGTCACCTCTGTATAAATCCAAGTTGAGTTCAGTTTGTGTTGGACCTTTATCCCTATTGCAATAGTATATTACTGATTAAAATCTATTCTTACCACTTTAGCATTTGGCTTTATCTCTGACAGAATTAAGTAAATTGTTTGACGTTACCTATCTACTAGGCAGCTCAACCACAATTTGATTCCCCGACTCAAAGTCTGTGCTCTACCCCCCCTAAAGGAAGACTTATTGAACACCCTAAGCAAGCATAAAGTATAAGAAGAAAAGCCAGCTGTCAAGTCGATTTCTGTAAGAGTAAATAATCGTGGGCAAGGGAAGACCCTGAGAGCCTAATAACATAATTTAACAATATTGTTTTCCAACATCTTTTATTTTAAAGACCCCATGAAACTATACTTTAGACAAATAACTGCTTCAAACCAGTGGGTAGTAAAGATGTGAGTTTATTCCACAAGTTAATAGATGTGATAAAATTCTTTCTCCATACAGCAGCCAGGATGATCTCAGACTTGACTCTCCCAACTTAAGGAGGACCTTCCAAGTTAGCCATTAGCAGTAATAACAGAGATCTGGGCCCTCCACCTCTACTCTGGTTTTTTTTTTTTGTTTTTTTGTTTTTTTTTTTTTGCAAATCACCCTTCAACCCCCTCGCCCTTGTCTCACCAGGCTCAACCCCCAAATTTGACAGAGGAAAAAAATACAGAATCATCTAAGTAGAATTTAATTCACTGGCTTTAAATTAGCATGCTTTTCAAAACAAATTTTCAAAAAGCTTCCCATAGTCAAATCTGTCAGTCCTTTCCTTCACGAGCCTTCCCTGTTCCTACGCTTACAACGTCGTTTTGCCATACTAAAAAATATAAATTTTACTTATATTTTTATACTCATTTTATGGTTTTATCTATAAAACCGTACATTTAAAAAGTGAGAAAGCACTTTTTTCTCTCTTTAGAAATTAACTGGCATACATTATATCTCTCTTTTTTCTTTCCAATCATTACTCCCTTTTCCCAGTACCATTTTTGGAATAGTTCCTTCTTTCCCCCATTTATTGTCAATGCCACTTATCTCATGTGCTAAATTCTTATTGCTACATGATCTTTTATACCTGTATTGTCTGGAACATCCTATCCCACTGACCTATCAATTCTTGTGTTGATACCAGTACCAAAATGAGAAATTAGGTTGAGAATCATGATTCATGGCCATCTTAGAATTTGCCTTTTGAAACAGCAGGCCCCTCCCCATGCCCAGAGTTCCCCCAGCACCTTGCACTATCACCCAGTGGCCCTGCTAGTGAATTTAATGCATCCCGCTTTCTCCTCACACAGGCTGTCCAGCTATAGAAGTAGATAGCAGTGTGGAGATAGGCCAGCAAGTGACAGATGAAGCATATACTTGGATAAGAGAGAACATCCAAAACAAGGTTCTTAAATTATTCTCAATGGAAGAAAAAAAATCCTAAAAGGTTACATACTAGAAGACTCCATCTATGTCATATTTTGAAACAGTAAAATTTTTAGAAATGAACGGATTAGTGGTTGCTAGGAGATCGGGTTATGGGGAGGGGGAGGGCAAGAGAGACATGTCTGGTTACAAAAGAGCAGCAGGAAAGATACTCATGCTGATGGAAATGTTTTATATCTTGACTATAGTGGTGGATATACAAATACACACACACAGTACAAGTAAAACTGAAGAAATCTGAATATGATTGGTGGATGGATTGTCAATATCCTGATTGTGATATTGTACTATAGTTTTGCAAAATGTCACCATTAAGAAAAACTGGGTGAAGTATAAGGAATCTCTACTATTTCTTACTACCTAATGAATCTACAAGTATCTCAATAAAAGCTTTAGCCAAAAAAAGCAAAGGTCTTCTCTGATTGTCAGTTTTGGGTTTTTGTTGGGTTTTTTTTTTTTTTTTGCAACTGATCAGAAACTCACCTTGAAATTGCAAAATGATTGGATTCCACCTAAAACATGCTTTTCAATTGAGCTGTCTCCCTTGATGAAAATATCGTATATCTGCACTATCCAATACAGTGGCCACTAACACACATGACTACTGAGCACTGATAATGTGGCTAGCGCAACTAAAGAACTGAATTTTAAATCATGTTATTTTCATTAAGTTGATATTTAAATGGCCACTTGTGGCCAGCATCTGCCATAAGAAACAACACAGAAATGAAATGACTTTATAGTAACCTATTCCTCTGTTTTAAGTACTAGTTTAAGGAAGAAAATTCATTTCCACTCACTGAACTAATTGATGAACTTTCCGTGAATCCATTTCCTCACTTTAAAATGGGGATAAGATACATCCTGAAAGGTTATTTTGAGTGTGAGAAAAGACTGCAAAGCCCCTTTGCACCTGTACTATGGAGGACCTGGTTACAGGTAACTTCCTGACCTAGCAAGTACCCAGGGAGGTGACCCTGTGATGATTTAGTAAATATTTCCCACTATTATGTGAAAACCAGCCAAGGATAAGACAGCAGCTTTGCTTTCACACACTTAAGGGGCAAATCGACACACACTTGATGCCTTGCCATGTTCCACAACGCCAGTTCCAAAGACTTCAATTCGAACTACATTTTTTTAAAACACCGGGGAGGCGGCGGGGGATCTTTACAAAAGCCTCATTTCTTCGAGCGCAACTGTGAATGCTTGATTAGGGGAATACGAGGAAAAACCCTGGAGAACCAAGCATAAGCGTTCAGATTAAGTATAGTCATGGCGCTTTGCTGTCCTTTCTCACACTGAAATTCGCTTGTCAGGATGCATCTTATCCCCATTTTAAAGTGAAGAAATGGATTCGCAGGACTAATCAAAATGATTCTCTGCTGACCAGCGGACAGCCGCCAGGAGCCAAGAGCCTTAGTCTTCGGCTGGCCTGTTTACCAACCCTGCCGCGGCGCCCTTCTTTGCATTCTCAATGACCCGAGAAAGCCAAGCCCCAACGAGCGGGGACTGCGCCTGCGCACTCCGCAACACGGCCGCGGGCGCGCCTCCTCCCTGAGCTAACTGTGTGCGCCCCAGCCGCGCGCAGCTACTCGCGTCCGAGCCTCGCGCAAGCTCTCGTGTGTGCCGTGTCGTTTGGCGTCCACCTACCCCTCCGCTCTCCTTGCAAGTACCCCGCGCGTCTGCCACGCAGTCATGTCGTCCGGCAGCCGCGTTGCGCTGGTGACCGGCGCCAACAAGGGCATCGGCCTTGCCATTGTGCGCGACCTGTGCCGGCAGTTCTCCGGGGACGTGGTGCTCACAGCGCGGGACGCGGCGCGGGGCCAGGCAGCCGTGCAGCAGCTGCAGGCCGAGGGCCTGAGCCCGCGCTTCCACCAGCTGGACATCGACGACCTGCAGAGCATCCGCGCCCTGCGCGACTTTCTGCGCAAGGAGTACGGGGGCCTGGACGTGCTGGTCAACAACGCCGGCATCGCCTTCAAGTGTAAGGGGTCGGTTGGGTGGTCGCAGGGGAGGAGTAGTCTGGAACACCTCCAGCCAGGGTGGGCTGTTTCTGTCGGGGATTCACCGCAGTGGGGCTCCTCGCTTCTGGGATGCTGGATGCCTCCCTACGGAAGTTAGGAGAAGTCAAAGTACAGGAGAAATTGAGTTGCTTTTCACCCAAACGGACTTCTGGGATTCTTTAACAGGTGGTCACAGTTTCTCTCGGTTTGGACTTCAGGGCAATTAGGTTAATTCTGAATGGATTTTTAAGTAAGAAAATTGCTCAGACTGGTTCACGGCAGTCGCACTGCACCTCCTTCACCCAGCCTCCCCCAGTGATACCATCTTACATTATAGCACATCAAAAGAGGAAATTGTCATTGGAACAATACTGTTAACTAGAGCCACTTTTACACAAAATTCACCAGATTTCACATGTGCTATTTTTTGTATCATTCTATGGAATTTTACCACAAGTGACCACTATTTATTAACTCTTAACTCTCCTTCTCCCCCAAAAGTAAAGGATCCCACACCGTTTCATATACAAGCAGAAGTGACAATGAAAACAAACTTTTTTGGTACCCGAGATGTCTCCACGGAACTACTGCCTCTCATGAAACCCCAAGGTGAGTCTAAGGAGCCCACGCTGTAGTGTTTCTGGCACCATCTGTCCCTGCCTGCTTCTGGTCACACCTTCAGGCCCCTGCTACCTCTCCCTGCTCAGCTACACTGGCCTTGTGGCGTCTGGGCCAAGTGCCTGCCCTTCAGCCTAAGGACTCTGCACACTCTTCCAGCGGTCATCGGTGCTCTCCGACCTGCTAGTCTTTGCACAACTGGCTCTTATCCTTCGTTCAGAAGTCTCCTCAGAGAGACCAGTAATTGCTCCTTTCCCTCACCTGTTGGAGTTCCCTGATGGTTCCGTGCCTGACCCTCCCTCCTATCTGTTCCTCTCTGAATGGTCTCACTCAGGCTAGTGGAGCCTTCATTACCACCAAGTAATGAGGCACCCCTAAAATCTTTTTCTGTTTCTGATCATGTGCTACTGATACAGTGTATTAAATTAATTGGTTTGTAGATGCTAAACCAACCGTACGTATCTGGTCTTTACAAGTTCGGGAGGTCCTCAAAACCACCCTCAGGTTCAGTAATCACTAGAAGGACTTCAAACTCAGCAAAGCCATTCTACTCAAAGTTACAGCGTATTACAGGAAATGGAGACTGATTCAAATCAACAGTGGGAAATGTCTCATAGGACAAGGTCCGGGAAAGACCAGGCATGGAGTCTGCTGTTGTCCTCTCCCAATGGCGTCCTGCAGACAGACGCCATGTCCTCCAGCCACCATGTGTGTACCGCCAACCAGGGAAGCTCACCTAAGCCATGATGTTTGGTGTTTTTGTTGGGGGTTGCTCACACAGTCATGGCTCATTGTCCTCTTGGCTGACCCTCTAGAGGTCCAGCTGATACCAGATAGCCTCACCATAATCACATTGTCGACTTAGATTATGTAGCCCGTCCCTACCCACCCCAGTAAATAAGAATAGTCTTATTAGACAGGACATTCCAAAGGTTTAAAAATTAACTCCCAGCATCCCTGGGCAAAAGGCCAAACCTTCCTTTGGCCAAGCTTAATCTTTTGCTTTTATAGGCTGTCCCTTGGACCTTTGCCAAGGCTTTCTTCCAGCAAAAGGATCATTCGCATATAAACTTAGTATAGAATTTATGTAGCAGATACAGCTAAAGTACCAGAAATATACCTAATAGTTGGGGGAGCCAGTGTGGGGGTAAGGATAGATTTAAAGAAACATAATTCATCCTATAAAGCCGCTACATAAATTTTCCTGTCTTGGTACTAATTTGATTCTCCCTTCGATCAACTGCTGTTTATACTTTATTGAGCATAGAACTATTTGTGCAGAACGATTTAATTCTTAAGAAATAAAATGAGGCATATTCAAAAATTATGAGTTTATTTGAGAAAAAAATCCATTTGAATCGGGAAGTGCCAAGCTGGAAGTGATTAGGAATGCTTCACCAGCAGGTGCTTGGGAAGAGACTATTAAAGAGAAAAGGCAGAAGCAAAGTAAGGAAATTATTGATTGGTTACAGCTTCAGGCCTCGTTGGCTGTTTGGGATTGGTGGTCCTTAGGTTTCAGTTTTGTAACCTTGAGGCATTTACAGGCTTAGATTTTGTTTTGCTTACGTAGACACCATGATATTAGAGCCACTACAGTCCAATGGCTTCCTTATTGCATTAATTTAATAATACAGAAATTAGCCGATGGCTAGCTAAATCCAATTCTTCATCAGGCTGGTCATTTTCCATCAGTATTACATCCTGAGGAGGCTTTGACTCAATCTTCCAATACATTTGATTGTCAATGTCAGTAGCAACATGTAACTCATTCGCATCTGGTAATTGAATATTACCAACAAGGCTAGTGTGAAGTCATATCACAGTACAGTTGTTCATGGAAACTGAATGATAAAAATCGAGATGGTGGCATATTCCTGGAGTCCCACCGAGTCATTAACAGTCAGTTCAGTTCATAACCATTTCATACGGCAGTATCTCCCAGAACCATGCCACTTGGGTTCGAAGGCTCCACCCGATTTTGTCAGGTCCCAAAAGCAGGCAGGAGTGCTGATGGTGACACGTGGCTTTACCTTTTCAAGCATCTGGTGTCGTCTAGCTCAGAGACGATGCCATCTCTTGCTCTGAGCCTCGGGAAGCACCAATGTAATATTGGATTTCTCTTGTTGCATAACTCATTTATTTATTCTTTTACCCTGAGCTGCCATTCGTGCTTCTCCCCATACTTTTTCATCTTTCGGAGGGACATCAAGTTCAGCCATTGTGCTGATCCTGATTGCTGCCAGGGATTCTAGTCTAACGAGTGCCTTCCCTTCAGCCCCCTCCCATCCCTACAGGACAGGGTTGCTTAGGTCCAGAACTGGTGGGCTAGCTCAAGGCAGCAGCATGGCTGCATTCGCTGCCACTCCAGTCTGGCCAGACGGGATGAAGGTACAGTCTACTCCACAGGCCCTTAGGAATTCTGACTTAAAGGTGTAAAACTATAGTTATGGCTTCCTGCTTAGGGATTATAGCTGCTTCCCATATCCACGGTTGCAGCCCTGGTCCTGGGAACCACTGTATCAGGTGTGAAAAAAGAAAGTTGAGGTGATGTGGGGAAGAACTGTGCAGTCACCGCAGCATCCTCCTGAGCCCCTCTTTCCCCGATCCCCCAAGAAGCAGAAGAATCTACCCAGTGGAGAATCTCCCTCGGACCCCTCATGATGAGTGTGAGCACGTGCTCGTGAACGCGTGTGAGTCAGCCCTTCACACCTTTATCTCATATTCGAGACGACCAGTGTTTCGATTGCCTGTTCTGCTCTCCATCGAACCACTACTCAGGATGAAGGCGTGTGGTTCGGTCCGCAGAAATGGAGCTCGTCAGTCCACTTCGGTGTCTTCTGATGCAGTCTCGCTGTACTACTTGAACAGTGGCATTGACCTCGGGGTGTGCACCACGTGGTCCAGAGACTGTGTCATCTCCGGGGCTACCGCCTTCAACCCAGCTGGCCAGCTTTGGGCAGGGCCTCCCCCTCGGGGCGTCTCCCATAACCATCTGCAGTCTTTGTCTCTCGTCCTGGCAAATAGAAAGGGCCTTGGTATTTTGTGCCCCAGGGGGCAGAAGAGTCATGTGTCAGCAGTTGTCCCACCTCTGCATCTCTGCAGCTCCCCATTTCCACTTATCTCAGGGACCCAGATGGCCGCTTCAGACAAGCACACCAGCGTATCCACTTGCTGGTTCCAGTCCTGCAGTGGTTCTTCTGATGGACTTTAACATGTCCTCTGATAACTTGCTCCCTAAACTCCCACATGACTTCCAGAGGGCCATGCCTTGTGTGGGCATCCCTTAGTCATTGCTCCCAAGTTGATAAAAACCCAAATACAGAGAAAACAGGCAATTCAGCCCACCGAACTGGGTTGTTTATTATCTTCTTCAATCAAGGTGGCAGCCTTCCAAACCAGATGCTCTGTATTTACGTTGGAACTGCTGTGCACACACCAGCCAGCTTTATTGATCTTTATTGATCAATAGACAGTTGTTCATAGAGCACTACACACCTGACTATAAGATCCTCAGGTGTAAGTTGTCAAAAATGGCCTTGGGACAAAGAAGCTGCCTACTCCTGAATGCAATGAGAACCTCCTTTCAACCCCCTTACCATGTTCCTGTATGAACCATTTTCATTCTCTTATGAAACTTCTGGGTCCCTCCCTCCCTATTCAAACATTTTTCTGACATCATCTGAGACATAATTACCCGTCTGACAGGTTTCAGGCTTGTTTCATGTCCTTCACCCAAGAGGCAGTTTTCATTAATGCTCCCAGCAAACCAGTAATTGTTTCTCAGATGGAAATTTCCTAGTCCAGAATCCAGCAAATTCGGCTGTTGTCATTCTTGTGTGCGCCTTTCTGAGTAACCATTTCTGTTGTGTTTTAGGCAGAGTGGTGAATGTGTCCAGCAGCGTAAGCCTCACTGCTCTCAGGAGCTGCAGCCCAGAGCTGCAGCAGCAGTTTAGAAGCGAGACCATCAGTGAGGAGGAGCTGGTGGGGCTCATGAACAAGTTCGTGGAAGATGCGAAGAACGGTGTGCACCAGGAGGCGGGCTGGCCTACTAACGCCTACGGAGTGACGAAAATCGGTGTCACGGTCCTGTCCAGAATCCAGGCCAGGAACCTGAGCACGCAGAGGAAAGGGGACAAGATCCTCCTGAATGCCTGCTGTCCAGGGTGGGTGAGAACTGACATGGCGGGATCCAGAGCCCCCAAAAGCCCGGAGGAAGGCGCAGAAACCCCCGTGTACTTGGCCCTTTTGCCCTCGGATGCTACAGAGCCTCATGGGCAGTTTGTTAAGGAGAAAAAAGTTGAACAGTGGTGAGTGAGCTCAACCCATAGAGCTCCATCCATAGTTTCCATGTTGTACCCGTCCTGATTTGATCCAAAGTGTGTTTAACACAGTCAAAACTATCCCTACCAAGGATTCACTTTGAATTGTCTACCAATTCTATGAAGCCTTTTGTAATTTGTGATGTTTATGCAGTTCTCTGTGATATTCTATAGGGAGAACACATGTGTTAGTGCTGATAATAACGAATTAAAATCAATAGAGGAATAAATGGTCCTTTTGTTTTCTGTAGATTGAAAAGATGTGTAGGTATAGTTTTGGGCATCCTGCTTGGTGTTCTGGAGCTTCCAGGATCTGTACTTTGGTGTCTGACATTCATTTGGGGAAATTTTCAGCCTTTATTGTTTCAAATATTTCTTTTCTTTTCCTTCTGGTATTACCATTCTGTGTATTTTACATTAACGTTGCTCCACCATTCTTGGATATTCTAGCGTGTTTTCATTTCAGTCTTTTTTTTTTTTCTCTCTGCTTTTCAGTGTTGTAGGTTTCTATCGAGATAATCTCAAGCTCAGCGATTCTTTCCTCGTCTGTGTCTAGTCTACTAATGAACCCATCAAAGGCAGTCTTCATTTCCGATTCAGTGTTTCCTCACTAGCATTTCTTTTCAGTTCTTAGAATTTCTGTCTCTCCACTTACATTGACCATCTGTTCTTGCATGCTGTCTATATTGTTCATTAAAGCCTTTAGCAGATTAATCATGGTTTTAAATTTCCAATCTGGCAAATCTGACATCCCTGCCATGTCTGAGTCTGGTTCTAATGTTTGCTCTGTCTCTTCAAACTTCGTTTTGTCTTTTAGAACATCTTTTAATTTTTTCTTGATAGCCAGGCGTGATGTACTGGGTAAAAGCAGTGGTTGTAAATAATGTTAGTAACATGGTGAGGTGTGGGAGATGGGCATGTTCTGTCATGCTAGCTTAGGTCTCAGTCTGTGGACTATGAGTTTCACATAAGCTTCTCAGTCCTACCTCCCCACCAGATGGGACAGGATGGCTAGAGTGGGCTGGAGGTGTGTATTTCTTTTCCCTCTGGTTGGTTAGTCTCTGATAAAACCCCAAGAGATTAGGCTCTGGTTTCATCTCTCCTGATTTCAGAACATATCCTGTTCTGCTCCACCTGCCAGAAGCACAAGGGAATTTTCCCACTGATATTCCCTCTGAGAACCTGGTAGAGCTCAAGGAAGTAAAACTCAAAAAAAGCATGAAAGGGCCCCTTGATGGCAGGGTCCCCCTGGAGTTGCTGTGTCTCAGACTTGTCCACACTGGGCCTCCAGTAATTCCTCACAGTTCAGATTTCTCCACCCCTGCACTGGTTCCCTTGGAGGTTTCGATTCATAGAGCTCAGCTCCAGTAAGTTGATTCCTCTGTATTAGCTGGTCAGTCTCTCCAATTTGGGAAGCAGTTTTCTCTGTGACCTCACTTCCGTTACAGATCTTAGAAGAGTTTTGATTTTATCCATTTTTTTTTTTTCAGCTTTTTACTTGTTAAGATCATGTGTCCACTTTCAAACTTCTTACATGCCAGACCAGAAACCGGAGGTCCTCCAACCAGGCCATGTGAGAGACAGAATGTCTATACAAATAGGCAATGGCCAGACCGTATGAATGTTTCTGACCATCTTTTTCTAGTATATCATTCCCATCAGGGGAGTACTGCTCTGATTGTCCACAAAAACGATGAGTAAATACTTCCCCCCGGGTAAAATGCCCAGATAATCACATCTGAGTTGGAATTTCTATCATCGGTGATTTACAGATTGGGGTCTCTACGGATAAGCCTCAGAATACTGTTTCTAATGTGCATGAGGTGTTAGCCTGGGGCAAATAGGACAAGATATCCTGGCTACAAAGGAAGTAGTATCTGGTGGGGGAACACAGAAAGACAGGGAAAAGGCATTGTTTACTCCACAAGGCCAGAACCAGGCCTCTCATTAGCTGAATTAATGTGAATCTCTTTAATCCAAATATAGGGTGAAGAGGTAACTACAACCCGTGGTGGTCGTTGATCTCAAATTTGGACTTACCTAGGGTCTGGTCACTAAACCATAATAATTGTTTCTTTTTCTGGGAGAGAGGGACGGTAGCAAGGTCACAGATTCTTTAAAGTCATTTGTCCACGTAGGCGTAAGAGGGAAACACCACTGGTTGTAATTCAGTGTGGTCCCGTTTGACGTGACTGGGATTGCCCAGTGGTTCGTTACCATGGGGTCTAGCCGTGAATGCCATGCGCAGCAGTCACTAAGGGTAAAGGTGGTGGCCATGTGGATGGAATGACAATGACTATGTTCCAGCCTAACAATTAGAACAAGGAGGGAAGAAAAGAGAAGAGGACATTTATCATAGACGACGACCAAGGGCCTATAGAAAATGAGAATGATTATAGGTAAACAGATTTTTTAAAAAATTAAAGAAGAGTGTCTCTCACTGAGGACTGTCAATCCATAAAGGAGTGTAATCTCAAAAAAATTTGGTGCCCATTGATGGAATATCTAGCTAAACTGAGAAATCCATACAATAGCCACTTTGTGAAGTGCTTAGGATAAATTCAGATAATATTTATCAAAAGAAAGTATTTTAGATAGCCCATACCATATATAATAGACTGTGTGGTGGCAAAATTATGACTTTCAGCAAAAGCATCAGTATAAAAATATCTAACATTTGGAGGAGACAGTGTGAGCTAAAAATACATTTGAAAATAAACAATCCATCCTTTATAGCCTATACATACATTTTTATATTTTTGTACTAATTTGACCACTCGTTTTTTATTGCCCACTTGATCAACCGTTGTTTGTACCTTATGATAAACTTGTGCAGAATTATTTAGTATAGAAATCAGCTAATGGTTAGCAAAATCTAGTTCTTCCTTAGGCCAGTCATTTTCCATTGGTATTAATCCTAAGAAGCCTTTAACCTACTCTCCCAATACATTTGATCGTCAATATCAGAATTATCATAACTTATTTTCATAAGGCGATTGAATCTTCTCAACAATACCAGTATTACAACTTATCACAGTTCCAATTCCATTTTGGAACAAATAAGTAAGAATTCTAAAGGTACTTGTGATACCTTCCCAACAGAATTGATCTTGCCTATATACTAGAGATTACTGCAGACAGGCATCATTTCAACTGGCCATGGTTTGGTTATTTCTGGGTTCCGAGTCAGTTAGGAACAAAGCCGATCACCCCGTCTCAGTTCACAGGCTTGTACTGAGACTAGTTTTCCTTGGTATTGCTGGAGAGCAGGGCTCACCCCACTCCTATAGGACATGGATGGTATTCCATACAGTTTCTATTGCTAACTGTACTACAAGATGTGTCCTTTCGTGATCTGTGCTCAGGGCAAGGGAAGTCATATTTCATTGATGTGCATTACAAGTGCCCCCATAGAACCGAAAGTTTATAAGTTCATAAGATCCCCAAAGGTGTACTTATTGAGCCTCCTTCAGCAGATAGGCAAAAGCCACTGCCAATGGTCACTTTGGCCTCCACCTGTATTAAGATAGTCAAGAGCCCCTGTTGGGTCATGATACAATCCCATTCCCAATGCTGCATTCTCGAATTATACAGCATTATTTGGTGAGCCTGACCCTCTTCACTAAAGGTTCATCACCTTTCCAGGCTGACACCCATACTTTGCCTTCCTTCTAGAAGAGAATGCCTTCTAATTTACTTATCTCTGCAGAAGCCAGGAGTAGAGGTGGTGTTATCTAGGAAAGACCTGTAGAAAACTGTCTTTTCCAATGGTGGGGCTTCCCGTGACATATATGGGAGACACACAAGGTTTTTGACAATGTTATGTCAGTATAAATACTGTCAGATTGGACAGAAAGGGACAAAGACAGGACAAAATTAAAAAGAAGGCTACCGGACTCCCCAAATTCTAGAGTTGTGAAATAGGCTAATAAAACTACTCAGCTGCAAACATATGCTGGTCTTTAGGGACGAGAAAGGATAACTCTGAAGGCAGAGCCTTAGGCCCAGAGGCATGGAGATGAGAGCCATCTACACGGTGTACAGGCAGAGGACAGAGCAGTGTCACTAGAAGCAGTGGCCTAAGAAGGCGGAGTCTCAAGCCGCAGGGGATTACTCTCACAGGCCTTAAAATTTAATGGAATTTTCCCTGTTGGATTTCAAAATTGCTTGGGACCAGTGACTCCTCCCTATCTTCCATATTCTCCCTTCTGGAATGGAAATGTCTGCAACCATTATCCTACACTGTCCCACTATTACACGTTGGAAACAGATAACTTGCTTTCTACTTTCACAGGTCCACAAATGCAGAAAAGTTTTGTTGCAGAATGAATCCTACCCAGAGCTTTACTCATACCTGATTTAGATAAGTTTTGAAACTTTTTTGTTTTCTGTTGAAATGGCCATTATAAAGATAGCAACATACTCAATAAAAGAACAACTTCGAGATGAAAGAAATTCTCTGGCTTAAACGTCATACCAAATAGGTAGCTCTTACTGAAATCGTGGTTCTTATGGTTTCTCAAAGCCAAATATCAAGAATGGCTCAATGAAGCCAACAGAGCAAATGTCAAGAAGTGGCTCTGAAATTGGAAAAAAATATCTCAGGAAAGATCTGGATGAAGATGGAAAGAGAAAGACCTCTAGTGCCAGAAGACCTCGAAATGAACCCTGGGAGACCTTTACCAGAAGTTGGCCACTGTCCTTGGTCAGCATTGGTGGGGAATCTTTACTAAAGGATGTTTCTGGTGCATGCTCACCCTCACCTGTTACTGACAGAATACGGGACACGAACAAAAGCCCAGGTTTTAGCACCCCATGGAGCATTCCCAAATTACTGCCTTCAATAGATTTTGGATGCGTTTTGGTCACGTTTTATTTATTCTTGAGATTACTAGAGGGTTTTCCTGACAAAAGCTACAGCTCATACAATAGCTAAAAGACAGCTTCATTTCATGTTTCTCACTTGGGAATCCCAGCCTACCTCTTCCCTAATAGGAAAATCTATGTCACTGGAATTGTCATTAAAGAACTCTGCAAAGCCTTGCCATTCAAAAATGTATGGCTTTGACCATCTTCAATCCCAAGGAAAAGTCAAGAAGATAAATTGTATTTTACTGTTAAGGAGAGGAAAAATCTCTGAGACCCTTGAGCTTCTATAACAAATGGTTGCCAATGACCTTAATATCCATGAGATCAACTGCTTCTTGGGTTCATCAACTCACTCTTCATG